GGAAGCTATTGAGTTCTACTTGGTGCTCTATGTCTCACATCCTGTTGAGAAACACTATTTCTGCAAGTTCCTTTCACAAACTTTTCTGGCTGTTACAACTTACGAACTATTGGTTAGGTATCAATGCATCCAGTTAACAGTTATGGAGAAATAGTAAGGATTTTCAAACAAGATATAAGCATTTAGAATGTAGTGGGGGAGATGTACTTAACTAGATAAGCAGGAGATTTAAAGATTATCACGGTTAAAAGTTGAGCAATAGATAACACTAAGGGATCAAGGTAAGTCAATAGCGTGTAAGTGAGAACAGTATAATTGATATGAAGTAGAACCTGTATTCTACAAGCATTGAGAAAGTACGAAGTCCGAGTCCAGAAGAGAACCGGGGTCCCAGACTAGGGATCCAGGACCGGGTCCTAGTCATAGAACGTTACAGATAATGCTTATTTACGCATTTAGGTTATATAGGAAACATCATCGAAGTCTGTGACATTGACAGTTAAGACGACCAATAGAAAGCAACATTTGAAGCACGTGACATTGATATCTAAGACGATCATAAAATTGACCAGTAGGAATTAAGCAATAGGAATCGACCAACAATTCTCTTAAGATATTGGATGAATGTCCTAACAAAATCCGTTCAAGCTGCCACACGACATCAGCTCAGAGCGATCGGACGGTCAGTTCAGGTTGCATAGTAGTAGAGGTAGTAGATGAGTTACTAATAATCGAGAAGCTTAGAGTTCAGAGATATTATTCAAGACGTATAACCCAATAAAATACTTTAGTAAGTGAAAAAATGATATTAGGAATTAAGGGGATTAGAAATTGAGAGAAGACGAAAAATGGATTCATCTGCGCCACTGAAAACGATTTTGAGCCATATCATTCGAAGTCTCCAACCATCGGTTAATATTGTCTAGTGGGCAGTCCAGTTTTTGGTAACTTCATTGATTATTAATCTATTCGTCATCGGGAAATACAACAAACCATACTATCAAATACAGAACCCCATAGTTTGGGCAATAAAACGAAACTTATGTTTGCAGAGTAGAGTGAAATCACTCGACTGTTTATTTTCTGATAATTTTGAAGATACCGTTCGGTATTCTGAATACTACCAAGAACAATGCCTGATGAAGCTGATAACAAAAGATGCTTATACATTTTTACTTATAACGCCACCATAATGTATGGTTCACCTTTCATCTTTATTCTTGCAAACAAACAGTAGAAAACTAGTTTGGATCGGTTATTGTTGGTCAGGTAAACACATTGAAAATCCATTGAATCGGTAAGTTTGAAATAGTCCAAGCTTTAAGAATTACGTTCATTAAACACCATTCAATTTACAGTTTTCAAATGTGTTTCCTACTGGTTGCTCAAAGAAACATCAGTCACGAACAGGTGAAAATATTCAAGTGAAAGAAAATTACTTTCTGTTTTTTTCTTCCATACACAGATTTCGACCGTATCTGATCACTCAAACCATCATGATAGAAACAAAGTTTCAACTGCAATAATCTTGTTTCGTTATATGAAATGATAGTATTGAATAGTGAGTAGTGTCAGGTCAAGCATTTGAGGTTTGAATTTCTCTCTCTCTCTCTCTCTGAATGCAACAGAACACAATAAGTCTCTCGTATGCAAGTGACAGTTCTACATGGTTAATTTTACTGATCAACATACAATTCCCGAATATTTATTAAGTACTAACCGTCGAAATTCACTGTAGATCTTGTCACTACTAATTTGTTACAAGTGAGTAAAATTACACAGTCAAAAGTCTTCATTGTTGTGTTTATTTCGGTATAAAATGAAAGTATTTCCTCGAATTATACTTCACACATGTTAATTAAGAGTAAGCTTTTATGGAGATTATGGCATTGTTCAAATTTAATTACCTTCACTCGAATGATGAACCTTATTTATTGCAGGAATTTCAATAGAGTTTAGCTAGAAGTGATCACATCAACAATAAACCAAATCAATCAATCATGTTTCATAGCTTATCGCATACAAACCAGAAAGAATCAGTGTTTTTAAGAATCTTTGACTTTAATAAATCATGAACATTCTAGTTAGTATATTTACTTTGTTGTGTTTCATTGATACAAACTCGAAGACGAATGTTTTGTTTTCTTTTAGAATTGAGTACTTGGAAAGTTCATTTTCACAAAACCACCATTTTCAATGCTGAACTACTAAACCGCTCAGTATCAATGAAGATTTTCTTTCAATGAGGAAAATAATAATTTCGTCACTTCTTTGAGGTTATTGTAACTGTTACAAGAATTGATGAATGTTGTGTATTGTGAGAATGAGACAACCAACCACTGCAAATGTAGTCTGACATTGGTGCTGTTCTTCTTTGCTTGACTGTCAGTTGCAGACCACTGTTGATATAAAGACCTAATTTCAATCAAAATTTTTTCGATCACACAACCTTTCACCATAATCTGAGACCTCACAGTTATGAACAGTGATGAACACCGAATCGCTAGCAAATAAAGCTATTTCTTCAGGTTATCATCGTATGCCCACGCCCTGGAATCTTTACCTAGTGACTAAATCGCCGCTGTTCGCACCCGATGTCTACGATCGTCTCAAGGAGCCAACTCTCAGATGTCTTCTAAAATCCTGGGAGGAACGATGAAAAAATTATTATCACGTCACCCTCAAGGTGGTGCTAAACCTAGCCAACGCCTCGCGGACGTCCAGTCTCAAGCAGGACCTGCAACAAAGAACTCTGACATAGCCAGAGGACTCTGGCTAGAAGTATTACCAGTGCATCTACGGCCCACTACTACCGCACTACTCAGGGACACACCGCTTTCTAAGGTCGCCTTCATAACATGCAACATTTCCGCCAGGACCACCATTGAAGACAACTACTTAGTCGCCTCAGCGTCACATCCAAACACTTAATTCGAGGCTAGTCACAGCTCCTAAATTTCGAAACAGCACCGAGGTCTCATCTCCTCACATCCCTCGAGCTCAATCACCATCGCTTTGAACTGTAGCACTAGCTCGCCCCAAGCGAGCACCTCTCAAGCCACGTCAGAAGGCGGTTATGGAACCAAGGACTGGTACTTACAGCACTCACTGCGCCTTCGGGCTCGTTACCCGTCGTTGTTCAGATCCATGCTCCCATGCCGGCGAGTAAGTGCGGTCATACTTTTCGGCCCTTTTCCCCAAGTTGGTCATTTAATTACCTTGCACGATTATCTTGGTAATGCTAGGTACCTGGTATAAAACAGGTGCCCAAGTTACTGTCGTACCAACTGATAGCATCAAGTCTCAGGCCCCGACTCTTCAACTACCTACTGCTAATGGCTTTGTCATTCCTGCCTACGACACACGAAGCCTATTGATCAATCTAAATAACCCACGACAACATCTGTAAACATTCACCCTTGCTGATGTTCTCATAGCCATACTTCTTTCGATTTCCTACAGCACTCTTAACTGCTGCAGTTGATCGATAGTATTGTGATAACGATTGCAAACAGAAGTTGGTTGGTTTATGAACGTGTTCATAGTCTTTCGACTCAAAGATCTTCAAAGTCTAATCCTCAATGAAGTGGGATAACGTCAGGAGGTGTCATTCTATGATTAACAGTGACTAGTAACAGGTTCATTCAACATTTGTTCACCCAGGTTCCTGAAGTCCACGTGCACCATCGGTTTGGAATGACAGATTTAAAACTCTCCTAAGTAGGTACTTTATACCCACCAACCCGACTCACGATCGTTTTTCTTCGTGCTGATTACGTTAACGGCACTCCTATTTCACGAAAAGACAATGTGTACAACTTCTTAGTCAGTGCTTACATAAACTTAGCCATATAAACGCATTTCATGAAGGAGAACAGTCTCTTCTCTAATCACGACCGTACGAGGAAATTCACTTGTAAATGGATAATGGCTCTTTTCCTATAAAGTAGTTTAATAAATATGAAAATTATTTGAGGGTATTTATCTTTGATTTTAAAAAGAACTGAAGGATTTTATATTAACTCTAGATAAATTTAGAAAGTAAATTAAATTGTCTGTGTTGGTGGATGTGATACCAAATTTATTTTATCAAATAAAGATTTCATTTAAATTATTGTGTATTAACTGATTTGTTTGAATTAAATAAACTACTGGAAAACTGTAACGAATAGCTTCACAAGATTATGTTAAATAGTATACACATTACAGGATTCAAACCCTAATGATAATTAGCTTTATTTAGATTTCTTTTCAATATGTGATCATTAAAATGAATGAATTAATAACAACACATAACATAGCTTAGCAACATAAAAGTGATCACCCAATATCAACGCATCTTATGTTATCTGCCTAATTAAATGAAATTTTTCAGTATGTGAATGAGCGATATCATTGTAGTCGGTTCTACTGTAGTGAACGAGAACACAGGTGGGGCAACCGAATTGTATTTAGCGAAATTGCAGAGTTACTCAGTAAAATTGGAAAACCATATCGTAAATTGTTCATTTGCAAAATATCAGTTCATCCTATCGAACTGGACTGTTCCTGTTGCCAAACATCAATCCATTGTCACTATTCATGCGTTTCATACAAATTCCATTGTTTTCTTACTCTTCGTTTCTTGATCTTCCCCCATCTTCTGCTGCCAGACATTACGTTGACACTCACGTCATATACTACTTATAAGTAGCTCACACCACACTACTAATAATTTAGGTCAATAGACTGATACACATTAGTGACAGTTGCGTGTGATTCATATCAGTATTATCAAAATAATGATTAGCATGAACTTGACCATTTTATGTAGTATTGAATGAGACAATCCTCAGACAACTCTACATTCTACAAGTCACATTGCCTAAATGCACACAATGAAAAAACAACCAAAACTTGTAATTTGATCCATTAGAAGAATGTAGATAGTTTAGTGAAATGTGATTACTTTCCTTCTGACGAAGTGACTTTGTCAAGTTAAACAACCATTTCTATTGTTCTTATAAACATTGATGCCATTTACAATGTACATTAACTTCTTCTATTCAGTAGGTGAGGTGTTTGATGGATCAATCAATGCTGTGACAATGATTGTTCGTTGTGTTCCACTTTGTGTAGAATCAATTGAAATGTGATGAACTGAATATTAGTGACCTATGTTGTTCAATCTTAGTCTGAAACCTTCCTGTTATTCTCGAATCTGCTCATCATCAGGTGTTGATATTATTTCGAGATTGATATGTTTCACACTATATTAGTCAAACTGATTCCTCTGTAATGGTTACCATAAGAGTTTTGTTATTTCTCTGTCATTGATTTGTATCATCTGACCTTTTACGAGTTGACCTCTAAGCTAGTGAATCGAGTCGAAATTGACCATGATCACCGCTAAATACTGATTACTAGCCCGTCACTGAGAAGACAAATAAATCCAGGGTAAAAATCATATTTGCTAGTGATTTCGTGGTGACGAAAAAAAACACCAAAATCACACCAAGAAAGTGGGCGAAATAAAGAGCAACTGTTAGTTATTTTATAACTGATTGTAGTTATGCCATAACTAACCGATCAGATTTTGGTTTAAGCGCCCACCACGTAATCTGACCTGACGTGTCTGTAAACCTTCTTTGTTGTAAATGACCTACAAACTGATTGACATTATTATCTTATTATATTGATGTGACTCATAACTGTACTCATTTCCATAAGGCACGCTATATTGGTCGGTACGTTTGCTCGTCTCACTTGATAATTGTAATTTCCTTATTTATTGTACTAATTTAATTGTTTTTGTGTTTATAAACAGATAACGTTTAAAGCGAAATTGGTCTTATTCTAACCATAGCTTTCCCATAGACTCTGAGCTCGCCAATATTGCGTTTACCGTTCTAGAATTACATTTGTAGTGAGTTCGCGAGCGCTTCGAATTTGACGTGTCCTCGCTGACTCTCTTCTATTTACGGGAAACAATCCACTTTCGGGATTCATGCTGAGTCACCCCTGCCCATGGTTCTGGCACATTTGCCCTCGGTGTTGAGTAGCTGAGGCATTGACAAAGCCACAGGTCCCACCCGAAATCAGACCTAAAGTCCATACGACCAAAACAAAATCGCCTGGCACTAAACCAGTAAAACAAGTGACAAAGGCTACCACAACCCTGCCTAACACACCGACAAAACTGCTGGTTGTTGTTAACCCTCTAGTATCTGCTAGCGATACAAGACAGTGGGTGAACGTGAAGAAAAGAAAAAGCAACACACAAGCGGCTACCACCCAACAACAGGGACGATAGATCAA